TGGGGATTCATGTGTGGATGTCAGAAATGTAAGGAAGACTTAAAATGTCAGCAACGAAGAAAATCAAGTTCTGCACCGGCTGCTAAGGATGGTAAAGGAATTAGAGAAATGTTAATGGATACGAAAAAGGAAATTGGTGACCAAGAGATTGAGTTAGAAATTCCTAGTAGTTACGATGGCGAAAGAAGAAAATCTGTTAGATTTGATGAAAAGGTTATAGCTGTAAGCGAATAGTCTAACACTTTATGCTACGTTTGATACAATCAAACATTTTGGGCTTTTTTGTTGTTGATATATCGTAAATAATTTTTATACCATATAAAATGACACAATTAAAATTGAGCGAAAGTCTTTATAATCTAAGAAAGGAACCAGTTAAATCTTAACATGTCTAAGGAAACACTTATTAAGAGCGCCAAAAAGCAACTTCGAACTTCATTAAAGAAAAAGCTAAGTGAAATATCAGCCGATTCGATTAATCTGCAATCAATTGGTATTTCAAATTCATTAATTCAAGTTCCACAATTTAAGAATGCTAAAAAGATAGCGCTTTACATGAATATGCCGAACCTGGAAGCCAAAACTATGGACATCATAAAGCATTGCTTTGATATTAAGAAAGTCTTATATTTGCCGAAGTGCAATGTTGTGCCATTAGAGGGGAGGAAGCGTAATTACTTGTCCATGCTTGAAGTTTCAAGCTATGAAAATGTCTTACAATTAAAGCCACAAGGAAAATATAATTTGCTTGAACCAACTTGTGGCAACGATATAATGGATACTGGCGATCTTGATGTGATTATAGTTCCAGGCGTAGCATTTACGAAGCTGAAAAAAAGACTTGGCCACGGAGCTGGTTTTTACGATGAATTTTTAAACGTATACCATAAAAAGTTTAATAGGAGTCCTTATTTAATAGGAATCGGGTTAGAAGAACAATTAGTCGATGAAATACCAGAGGAAGAACACGATTGGAATGTGAATTGTTTAGTGATAGGTAATACTGGAGTCATTCATTGAATGAAATTTCATAACGAAACAAACGAAACGATGTATCCGAAATTGAAAGTTAAATAGATAAATATTAATTAAGATGCAATAAATAAGCAATCATAAGTAATTATGATATACGAGAACCATAGTAAGCGTATTTGTTTACACATATAGTACTCAGTTATTAACTAGGATTCCTATAAGACACTTTTCTAGCATTCTATCAGCGTTAACCCAACTGTGGTACTTATTAAATAATACAGTACCATCTCTCCCAGCACATTTCATGATTTCATTAACACCTCCCGGATGAAAGTCTACGTAAGGAGTAATATTAAACACCTTCCCATTTATACAAGTCCAACAATCTTCCTTAGTTTTATGCATTTTTAACTGATCTTTAGTTACCTTAACATATTGTGGCGGTGGTGTTTGTTGTGGTACACCCCTTAATATATGGAATGGTGTAGTAGAATTTAGATGAGCCCAATCTAGTGGGGAATGACCTGGCTTTAATGCTACTTTCTGTCTTTGGGTCCCCCCACCTGGCAGATTACTCGAAACTCTTTGAGCCGAATTTGGAGGTGGAAATAACGAATTAGCAGATGGTTTACTATTCGGTATACGACTGTTATTCATTTTATCCCACTATTATGTCATGGGTTATACACTTTTTCTTAAATAGATATTTTATTTAGTGAAATTGAGATGTAATCGAAAAAAAAGTCTCGAATATTTAAGATCTATAAAACAGCTATGTAAATCTGCGGTAATTATTTATCACCCTTAATTTGTCCTCTATCAACTCTCTCATAATAAAGCATATAAACACTCGAATTTTCCCATAAAACCGTTGATCTTGAAACTTCGGTAATTTCGGAATCACTAATTCTCCAAAAAGGATGCTTAATCAACGATGGAATCTTTCTCATCTTGACTTTTTTTGATTGTTCTTTGTCCTCTGGAATCGTCTTTTGAGGTCCTCCGCCAAAAGAAGAAAAATAGTCCACTTCTGGACCATCAACTAATAGCTCAGCGGGAGTATTCAAACCAGAATGAATAATCTCTTGGATATTAGCATTCGCTGGATCAGCTTGGAAGACTGATGGCCTACGTCCCATCATCGTTGAAAGTTTACGACGAAGACCAGAACTAGAGTCTTCATATTCTTCTTCATTGATGTTTCTTAAGTTAGTTACTTCATCGTGAGTGTTTGAACCGGCTTTGTTAGTTGAATCAACATTATCGGATGAGGAGGAAGCCACCGAGCCACGTCTATTATTGCTAAAAGAAAAAGAAAACTTCTTTTTTCTAGTTACAGTTTCACTAGAATTATCATCTTTAGCATTATGTGATGATGCGTTACGTTCCTCATCCCTGAATGTAGGATCAAGTACAGATATTCCTGTGACATCACACGTAATATCACCTGTAATATCATCCAATATTTCTGGTGACAACTTAAAGATCACGCCCTCTCTATCTTTGACATACAATGGCTTTCTTTTATAACATTCATAATGTCCTTGGCTATGAGATCCTAGATGTTTAATAAGAGCACGCAATTTATATTTATAAATGTCATTGTCATTGAATTTGAAGCTTCTAAAATGTTTCCTCAATTTATCTGTTTGGTCTTCAGTAATAGGGGCATTATTCAAAGTTTCAGGAGTTCTCAATGTGGTTGAGCTGGATGCGGCATCAAATTGTTTGTCTTTTGTACTACCTCTGATGGTAGGTGTTGTATGCGAAGTTTCAGTTGATGTTAAAGATGAGCTATCCGAATCGTCATCACCATCATCAAATTCATTATCGGAAGTAGTATTATCACCATTGTCTGTTGTAGAAATTTCTTCATTCTCTTCATCTTCATTACCGTTTTCATCAATATCTTCCCTTTGATGTTCTTCATCTTCCACATCATCAATGTCGTTTGTTAAAACATTTGAACTAAAGTTAGCAGCTTCTGATATTGATTCTTCATTGGCTGTACCTTGGAATTGTTTTAACTCTTCGTGATAATCCTTACCAATCGACAAAGTCAAGTGATCTTTAAATGATACACGACACGAATTTCTTGTTACGTCAACACCATTAAAGCTAGACCTAGATAAGTGAATACCAAAAATTTTTGGGGGCTTTAAAATTTGCTGCCTTCTAAATACTGTTGAAGTGACCTTTGCGATATCTAAACCATATTTGTTATATGATTTAATATATTCTTCTAATTCGGGTGAAAGGTCGTCATTTATGCACAATTTGTCATCGTTGTTTAAATCAAACAACGTATTAAGAATACTTACTTCGTCTTCGCTATTATTCGATTTTCCAATTTCCTTTAAATGATTTTCGTTTTCCGTAATTTTTATTAAGCGACATTTCAAACACTGATAGCCTTCAATAGATTCTGATTCATTCTCGTCTATAATAGTTTCCAATTCAGTTGACGACTTCTCTGGGGCATTCAAAGTCAACATTAAAAATGGGGAAAAATTTGGTTTTGAAACAAAAGAACAAGAGAGACATTTCATTTGAGACAATATTAAACCACTAAATGGGAACTCTGGTAATTGAATCGCATCCAAATCATTTATTAAATTAGGATTGTTCAAAAGTTCTTTTCTCAACTGCTTTAATTTCTTGAGGATCTTGACGTTTTCATTCTCTAATGTCTCGTTAATCAACTGGGTCAATTCCTGGGCATCATGCTGCGATTTGGAAATCTTGGCATTAAATATCTTTTCTAACGCATGAAGAAACGTCCAAACTGAAATGGTTCTTGATGACATCCTCGTTTCCTGCAAGCTCTTCATCATTTTGCTTAACGCATAATGAAGCGGAATTTCAAATTTGGAATTATTCGTCTTTAATTTGGAACTTCCATGTGACTCGTCCTGAGTGTTAATGTGAAGCTCTGGCTTAATCCCATTAGCTTCCATAAACTTTTTGAGTTGCTTAAAAGCACTAATGAATTCATTTAAATACTCGGTAAGTTTCGGTAACGCCAGGTACGCCTGTAACGACGAGTTGGCAAAACAATCATTTCTTAGATTGATCAATCCAGTCGTATACTTATCCGGTCTCTTGCTAAACATTTGTTGTCTATGATCCGGTAAAAATGGAATGCTAATAGATGGTAATAAAATATAAAAACTTAGACCAACTAAAATTCCACTAATGATCAAATTTCTTTGTTGCTCTGATGTCCTGGAAAATAAGAAGTTTCTCACAAAATCAGTATTTCTATTTGCCACTTGGGTTGATGCAACTACTGTATCTCTATTCACTATTAAACAACGTAACTGCTCTAATAAAGACATAGAATTTAAAAAGTATTCAAGTTCATCTAATTAATATTTTTGTCGCTTTCCGAATTCCCCCGCAAAGTTCTTTTTAAGCACAAAAGCCACGCCCCCAAGATCTGGCTAACGGCAAATAGATATCTATCGGATTGAGACAATGTTAATCCATAGGCTAGATCGTATACTTGTTCTCTACGCCCCGACTACATCGATTATGAGCAATTTTGAATCAATTATTAATATCTTGTAACACTGGGCTCACTTATATAAAATCGCTCTTTGACTGTATTGCACTCTACGGAAGACATTGAAACACAAATCGCGACCAAATAACTATCAAGCTTACACCAAGTAGTAATTGTAGGGTAAGATTTCAGTATTAGTAGTTAAAATGGTCAGGGTTTGCAAGAATATCGCTCGAACAAGTTTGACAGTAGTACACCATATACCACTACGAAGCGAAGCCTATATTATACATAATGTTGCATCAAATTTATTTCACCATACACCTTAAATCAGACACTTAGAGCCTATATCATACTGTTACCCTAGAACATGATATTTCCAACATCTTGTTGCAATATAGTTTTTGCGCCAAAAAGAAAGATAATACGTGCAAGTACCGGAGTTCGACGTGCTCTACAAAGCTGATTGGAATTGTTCACCATCTTCTCTAATAGATAAGGACTCGAGACATCAGATACGATGAAGTTTTCACATTCATTACAGTTCAACGCTGTTCCAGAATGGTCTTCAAAGTATATAGCGTATACAACTTTAAAGAAGTTAATCTACTCACTTCAAAGGGATAGTTTAAAAGCGGGAAGGAGCGACTTAGAGTCGGCCCATCTTATTACCAACGAAAGTCGAGCAGATCAAGATCCTTCTACTGTATTTTTGGCTGCTCTTGATGCAGAATTGACTAAGGTGGATGAATTTTACCAGGTCCAAGAGTCATATATTTTCAAGGGTATTGAGGAATTAATTGTTGATATCGAGAATTTCGAAGCGGAACTTGACGGGGTCAATTTTAGCAAGCCAGCTGACTTTGGAAGTTTTTCGTTGAATAGAAAAAAGCTGAGTGGCAGTGGGGGTGTTGCGCCGTCGGACACCTCTATTGAACATTACCAGACTGACACTGATCGTGAAATTCAGGAAGAGGATGACAATGACGATGAGGACTCGGGAGAAGAAAGAGGGCGTCCGAAGAATAGACCGTTAGAGCATACAAAGTCTATTGACCATTATTTAAAAACACCCAAGACTCTGGAGGTTTGGAATAATTTGAACAACTATACTTCCAATTTACCACCTCAGTTGCTCATCCTTTCTGAAAATCGGGTGATTTTAAGGAAAAGAATTATTGGATTATTTACAACGTTATCCGAATTGAAGTCTTACATAGAATTAAATAACACCGGGTTTAAGAAGGCTTTAAAGAAGTTTGACAAATCCTTAAATACCAATTTAAAGGACGGGTATTTGAATGATTTGCCTCAAAGAACATACATATTTCAAGACACTACTATTACAAAAGTTGAAGATAATATTAATTCGTTAATTAAATTATATGCTTTGATATGTAATCATGGAAATGATTTAGAGACTGCCAAATCGGAATTATCGATTCATTTAAGGGAGCATGTCATATGGGAAAGAAATACAATCTGGAGAGATATGATCGGTTTGGAAAGAAAGACTTATGCAGCAAACTCTAAAGTATCAAATCCTGAGAACACTAACAGTGAGAAGACTACTGGCAATATATCATCCAGCTTTAATATTTCGTTCAAGAATCCAACAGTTGCAAAACTGATAGTGATTATATCAATAACGTTAATATTATTGAATTTTTCTCCATTCGATGATCTTCAACAGAAGAATTGTTTTGCATTATTAATATGTGCATCCTTACTCTGGGCCACTGAAACTATTCCATTATTTGTAACATCGCTTTTAATACCTATTTTAATTGTGGTATTACAAGTTTTGAAGAATGATGATGGTTCATTAATGGATGCGGTATCTTCGTCCAAGTTCATTTTGTCAACAATGTGGAACTCGGTGATCTTGTTATTATTGGGTGGTTTTACTTTAGCAGCAGCCTTATCGAAGTATAATATCGCCAAAGTCATTTCTACCTGGATTTTATCAAAAGCAGGAACGAACCCGTCTGTTGTTTTATTGACAATTATGGGTGTGGCATTATTTGCATCCATGTGGGTATCTAATGTTGCTGCTCCTGTTTTATGCTTCTCGTTGATTCAACCTATTTTGCGTACATTACCTAAAGGTTCTCAATTCATAAATGCATTGATTTTGGGAATTGCATTGGCTTCAAATATTGGTGGTATGGCATCTCCTATCGCTTCTCCCCAAAATATGATTGCCATTGGCTCTATGGAGCCACAGCCATCTTGGGGACAATGGTTTGTTATTGCATTACCAGTTTGTATCCTTTCCCTTTTCGCTGTGTGGGTATTTTTGTTGCTCACATTTAATTGTAATTCAAAAAACACCCAATTGGTTAGCATCAGAACTATCGATGACAAATTCACTGGAATCCAATGGTACATCATAGGTGTTACAATGTTTACTATATTTTTATGGTGCATTGCGTCAAGGTTAGAAGGCATATTCGGTGAGATGGGAATAATAGCATTAATTCCATTACTTTTGTTCTTTGCACCAGGATTATTAACAACCGAAGATTTCAATAATTACCCATGGAACATAGTTATATTAGCTATGGGTGGTACTGCGTTGGGTAAAGCAGTTGCATCTTCAGGGCTATTATCGACCATAGCGCTGACAATAAAACACCAAGTCGAAGACTTTTCATTATTTGGTGTAACGTTAACCTTTGGTCTTTTGATCTTAATCATGGCCACTTTTATTTCTCATACAGTAGCTGCGTTGATTATAATTCCTTTAGTTTCGGAAATAGGTAATGACTTACCAGAGCCACATCCAAGATTATTAATCATGGCAAGCGTATTATTATGTTCAGCGGCCATGGGTTTACCGACATCAGGATTTCCTAATGTTACTGCCATTTGTATGACTGATGAATTTGGAAAACCATACTTGACTGTTGGTACGTTTATCTCAAGAGGTGTTCCAACTTCAATAATTGTTTATTTTATTACTGTTACCATTGGTTATGCAATTATGAGATTAATTAATTTCTAGATGCTTTGTATTTGTTGGTTTATGCTATAAATACTCCTAGATCAACTATTTTCATCTCGAGTCAATTCGATGGCCTAAGTTACTAGATGTTTATTCTTTTGTCACAAACTCTTTGCATAATCACGTTAGATATATTGTGGACATATTGCGATATATAAAATTATTTAGTATTAATTATTAGATATTAGTGTTGTTCAGTTAGAATATAAGATGATAACCAGTCACAATAAAATTATTAAACAAAAATTAAATCAAACCGAATCCGTAAGCTTTTTAACAAATGCTATACCAGCCACGAGCACGTTCAAACCCGTTCCTCTTCCATTGGACGATCTTGGCCTGCATTATTCTCGACCTCAGGCCTATCCGAATTAGAAAGTGGAACTGCAGTATCACCACTGTGTCTTGGTGTTTCGTCTACTGGCTTTTCGTGCCTGGAGTTTCTACGTAAATTCAAGTGCATTACTTTATGGAAGAAATCTTCGTCCACTCCCGATGCGTTAATCCAAGTTAATATTATAGGCACAAAGGAAAAAGTTATCAAATCAAGAATACCGTAGAATACCGCTTCAGAATCTGGCTGAATACGATTACCACCTTCACTGAGACCCCAACATATTGGATACAAAAGCCATACTAACAACTCGAATGCAATAAACATAATTGCAACTTTGTTTGTATGAACTGATTTTGTTGCAGAAATCATTGAAACTAATACCAAAGACATCGCAAACAATTGAGCAGATACTGCAAATGTAAAATAACCCCATCTATAGCTCGAAGGGATTAAGATACCAATCAATAAGCCCAAGACATAAATCTCAGTAGCGAACGTCTTGACGATCAACCCCGAAAGCAATGAGAGAATTCCAGTAACAGTTTCACCACCATCTGTAAGATTGGTAGATTCCAACGTATGAGTAGCTACTTCCATGGCAAACAAAACAAAAGGCCATGCCAAGAACCATCCGATGTACTTGACATAAAATACTTGTCTCATACCTAGATCCCGACTTGTCAGAACATGATTAAATTCAACACTTGTCGAAGTCCAACCCAAGTTTGCAGCATACGTAAAGTAGCAGTACGCCATTATTGCGTTAGTAAATAAGGGCACAATGAATAATATCTTCTTAAGCCTGTGTGCTCTGGAACTAGTAAAACTGAAGACGAACGCATGAACCACGGCCAAAGTTGCAAAAATTGAAAAGGCTGCCCATAACCAACTGGAACCATGGTTAGTCAAGTGAATATCAGTGTTTAAGCCCGGTTTATTAACCGATACAGCTTCATTACCACCACGAGGTTGTAAATTGTCGATTAAATCCATCTTGCAAATATTAGAAACTAATAATGATATAAAAATACATATGTCCAGAATGCCGATAAGCTTATTATTTATATTTGCTGGAATCTAAAGCAATACGAATCATATTGATACTGATCAAACCGAATATCAGGTCATGAAAACATATAAGGTTATCGGAATATTAATAAGCATTTCCTGGTACGGTAACATAGCGTTCCTATGCGGTTAGTATTAAGTAGGTTCAAGCAGCATCATGATTCATGATCTAGATTACTACTTCCGTAAACACTGGACTGACTTATAATTAAGGTTGGGCTGGCCGAATTTTTTAAGCTTTTACAATGGCTCTGAAGCGTTAATGTGCCAATAGTATGATTAAACGACGTTTTCATGTATATTCGTGTATAAATAAATAAATAGAATAGCAATTAACCGGGGAAAGGCTAAATCATCCTATACTACAGCAAACAATGCAAGTATCTATCCGATAGCAACCGGCTGACCCTCTTTCATTTTTGCCATGGTAGCTTTATCCATATCTCCCGATGCACCACAAATAGAGCACTTTAGCCTCTTTGAGTAGTAGAACGGTAACACTGGAATAAAAAATAATGTTACACAATTGATGGTTCTAATAGCATTTGCCGACTGATTATGGCAATTTCCACAGTAGCAACTAATATTTCCGATATCCTTTAACGGCTTGTTGAATTCTTTGACTAGAGTTTGCTGTTAGTATCTTAAAGCTGCAATTTTAAACCAAATTCGACCATTTCAATCTCACTGTAAACATACAACCAATAAGAAAGAAGCAAAAATCCATGGTAACTAGTTTCTAGTGTCTAACGCTTCTAATTGACGAGAAATATTGAGTTTCTTTACTTGAAAACTGCCGAATCCTTGGATTTCATGACCCTTTTGTAGACCGTAAATAACCTGTAAAATAATTATGTCCAATTTAACCTAACCTGCAAATGTCGGTTATCTTAGATTGCGGTGAAAAATCTACTATATTAACAATAGACTGAATTTTAGAGGAATACGCCACTTTGATTTGCCATAGTAAAGACATTGACCTAGCCCTTCTTATTGCAATGCCAGAAAAACAAAATAAAGTACAAGCCAAATCGTTTGGACAAACAATTGCAACGTTAGCACTGTCGAAGCAATTCTATTGGTTTGTAGGACATGTTTTGGAGATTATTTTCTTCATCTTGAACATGATCAGCTCATTTTTCAGCCAGTCGGCCAAATATTACAACTGTGCATTGGTTGCGGTATTATTTACATATGGGATCGTAATTAAGCAAATTCATTTCAAGAACAGTGGTATATTGGGAATTGGGAAGGTGGCCCGTGATCGGGAGTTGAGAGCCAGGTTGGTGAGAGATGACAATGTTCAATACTTTCTGCTTGCGTTAGTTTTCCTCTTGAGCAGCGGAACAATTGGTGGAGTTGCCGGAGGATTATATTCTTTCACGATCTTTTCTATTTTCCATGTGTTGACGTACTTCCAGACTAATTTACTCGGATCTATGCCACTTAACAAGTTGCAGCAACAGAACTGGAATGCGAAAATCAACCACTTCACTTCGACGTACAACCAACAAGCATTATTAATGGCTGCCAATGCCGAATTCTTGTTACTCAGTGGATTCGTTTTTACCATTCCACTTATGTTTGTTCAGATCTTTAGGATTCCACTTTTCGTTGTGGTGAACACCTCGGTATTCGTTGCGGTCGTTGTATTCTTGAAATTGAGATACATTTCGAACAGATATACGCAAGAGATTGTAAGTCAATGGGACATGAAGATCAATCAGGTTCTTTTAAGTGGTAAATTGCCTTCTTCATTAAGCGAGTACTACAATATTAGGTTGAAGGGGTTGATTCAAAAGTTGACTGATCCAATTCAATTGCCAGCCGTTGCCTCAGCTAAGAAATCCAGTTAGGAACGCGCCATAATAGCAGCTTCCCTACTGTATTTAGTATTATATTTCATCGCCTCGATAATTTTATAAACTTAATTTATAACGTAAATAATTGCTTAAGCTGCTTGTAGTTTAGGTGTATGCCTAGAATACCCCTCATATCCAAATCCTTGCGAGAATGATATACATGTTTACTGTTCTTGGCCAGTTTTGCCACATAATTAATGATGTTCAACACTAAATTACATGATTTTGCAGCAAATGTGAATGTATGTACAAAATACCTAAAATTGTGTAACAATCACAAAAAATTATTTTAAACTATAGAAAGTTCCAAGCAACTTACAAGATCTAGGGACTCTTTATCAATCGACGTCGTAATTGATTTCTTGAGTCAATCTCATCATTTTCCTAGCATGTCTGTAAAAGTGGCAATCTTATTATGAACGCTCGTTCACTTTTTTTTCGAGAAATTTAGACAATATGAATCAATTTGCTAACTACTGTTGATTCCTAAGATTTACAACGTCGAATAGAAATTGCTCATATAATTGAAACAAGTTTAATAAGTATATCTGTACAAAATGGCGTCACAGAGTATTAAAAAATTAGCAGCTGCTAACACTGAAATACTTAATCAAACCCATCTACTTGCTGTGATAATAAATCTAATTGTAATTATGTCACTATTAGTGTTCAAAAGACCAAAGTCACTTATCCCATACCTGTTATTTTCGTGTCCGGCTTTCTTCTGCCAACTTATCATAGAACAATCAGCAAGACCAGTATATGATGTAGATAGAATGTCGGGACAAAGAAAATTATTGAAAGCTGGTGAAGATGTTAAACATGAAGGGTTGTACGAGTACATGTTTGATACTATGTACATTACATGGATTATTGATATATTGATGATTGTTTTAGGTACCAATAAAGTGTGGTGGTTATACAGCATTATTCCTGGCTTTGCCATTTTCAAAGTTGTCGGTATAGTTAAAGGTTTCAAAGGAAACAAGTCCGAAACAAAGCCAGAAGAATCAGAGGCCCCTCAGAAGAGTAAGAGACAGGCTAAAAGAGAAGCCAACAAGAACAAGGTTGTAAGAAATGTTCGTTAGTTTTCGAATGAATAAGTTTTAGTTGGTCTCATTAATATTTGTAATGAACCACTAGCTATATATCTATTTATGTATATAGAAGCTGTATCCAATGACCTCTAAAGGCTGTATATGGTCCTTTTTCATAGTTAACGTTTATCGTATATTTACAAAGACACAGGCTATCAAGCCTATAAAATGCGAGGTAATCATAAAAGTGAAAAAAATTGAAACCACATTTAAGAGATAATTATAGATCTAATGTATAAAAGCTCTATAAATACTGTATTTAAACAATATAGAAGTTTAAATCGTGTCATGTCTACGAGTATTAAAAGACAAATATGCCCATCTGAGGTCGATGGCCCAATCGAACGTTTGATGATAACTAAGATTGTTGAAAACTTGAAGCCATCTTTATTGAAGGTTTATAATGATTCAGCTAAACATTCCCACCACGCTGGTGTAAGGGACGCAGTGAATAAAACGGAATCTCATTTCACGATGGAGATTGTAAGCGATGAATTTATTGGTAAGTCCATGCCGTCCAGACATAGAATTGTGTACCAGCTTTTGGATGATGAATTCAAAAATAAAGGCCTTCATGCATTAACGATGAAAACTAAGACTGCCGAAGAAATTAATAGACAAGCAAATAAATAACACCAAGAGAATATATAATAAACATTGTATATTAATATCACATCAACATAAAAACTACTTTATACACTATACACTATACTTGGGTTGTTGTAGGAACTTCATTTTCAAATCCGTTCATTTCTTCCTTTTCATCGAAATTACTTGACTCTTGCACAGATGCATTCTTAGCTACTAATTCCACAATTCTTCTTATTACCGGTAAACTTAACCATGCTGGTACATATGCTTCAACTCTTGAAAATGGTCTTAAATTTACTGATCTGAATGGATCGTTGAAATGTCCATCAGTTGACACTAATTCAAACAAATCATCATTGTTTCTACCATCATTAGCTTTAACCCTATCTGCAACCGCTTGCAAAACATTTGGCGCTATTGGTGTTTCATAATCGGCGACATAGTATTGTGAGATCAATTTTTGAATTTGAATTGGTTTCAAGGCGTAACAAATTTCATAAATAATTTCAATATCATCAGGGGTATTTTTACGTAATTGCAACAACTTTGCTGCCTGTAACAAATGATTTAAATATCCAGAGCCTTCTTGGATTTCATGACCTTTGCACCATTCTTCTAATCTCGTCACATTGTAATTTAATTGCAAACCTCTCTTCCACGACAAGAAATTACGTCTCATGATTAAATCGTTGAAACATAAGGCATCAACGAACCTTAATAATTCGATTATTACTTCATTCATAACTTCATATTCAATGAAATATGATTTCATAGACCAGTACACTGAATTGAAAAAGCTTAATATATCATCCATCTTATATTGCACACCTGGAGAAAAGACCTTGGCCAAAAATGGCGAATTCTCTGGTGCCATAAATCCTGGTAAAGATTGAGACAAAACTACCGCAGAAACTGCTTTCTTCTCCAAATCCTTTTCCATTTTTTTCATCCACATATTGTAAATATTATATGAAAGGGATTCAAAGTCTTCCTTCACGACTGCAACTAATTTCAAGTATTCGTCGAATTCTTCCTCGCTCATCTCGTGAGATAATGTGTCATTTGCAATGATGGTCTGTTGAGCATACGAAACAAATGAATATAATTCATGTGTGTTTGATAACCAAAAGGCCCCATTTGAAATGACTTCATCGTCCTTTAATGTGGATACAATTTGTTGAATGGCTGCTAAAACTTCACCTAAGAACTCTTCACTTTCCTTGGTTAAGCCTAGTCTCCACATATCAGATAATATAATAATTATAATTCTTGCAGGGAATAATACTTCTTTTCTGGTCAAGTCAGCTGCAACACCGGCAGGTGGAATTTTCAAACCCTTTAACAATCCTTCAACAATTTCCTTATGTAACTGCCTTGAGTCTCTTAATAATCTGAACAATTCATCATTGATATCATCAACATTGGCGTTCTCGTCATTCGAAACAGCGATTACTGATACTGGTCTGTTGCCATTTTGATCTAATGACGCTGGTGAGTTCCAAGCTAAAGCGCTACTATGACGCTTGTTACTGACATTTCTCGATTTTGGATTGGAAATAACACCTTTCTGTTGTTGCGATTGCAAAGTTGCAATTTCAGATTTCAATTGCTCAATATGAGACTTCAAGTCAACTTCAATTGTATCACGCTTAACAAGAGCATCCTTAGCTTGATTCAATTCTTCGATATTACGATGCACTTCTTGTCTTAAATCAGCTTGCTCCTTAGTTAATTGCTCTATCTTCTGTTCAGCTGAAGAATATTCAGATTTAATGGATTCTAATTCCTTATTCAAGTTTTCGATTTCTTGTTGATGGCCTACATTTTGAGAGTCGTATTTCTCATTAAATTCAAGTTCCCTAGATTTCAAGGTTTCATGCACGTCACTTGATTGATCTAACAAGACCTTCAAGCCTGCAATTTCGCTGACTAACTTCTTGTTGTCTTGAATTTTGGAAGTTAAAGATTGAGTTAATTCAATAACCTTGTTTTCTAATTTATAAGAAACCTCTTTCAAGTGATTGACTGATTTAGCATTAACCTTCAAATCCTTCAATTCACCAATGGCCAACTTCCTTCTGAAACAAGATTGAAGTAAGACAACCGCCTTCATAGACTTCTTATAATCACGTCTAGCGGTATGTCCTCTCCAGGCGTTCTGTAAGGTGATAGCTGAT